AAGGCACTAGCTCTGGTGGCCTAGTGGTAAGAAGCTGCACTGCCAACCCAAAGGCATGAGGTTCAAATCCACCAGCTGCTCTGTAGGAGAAAGAGGGGCAATCTCCTCCCAGGCATTTATTGCCTCTGAATACCCACTGGAAGGTTTGCTATGAGTTGGTTCTGACTCTCTAGTACATAGCAACAACATACTACACTATTTCTGTTTTTTTTAAATAATATTATGTTGTGCTTTCAGATGAAAGGCTACACAGAAAATTAGGTTCCCATTTAAGAATTTATTCACAAAATGTCCTATGACATTGGTGACAAATTTCCCAATGCATCAGCATTCTCATTCTTTCTTTTTATTTTTTATTTTATTATATTTTGTGTGTGTACCATCAAATCGGATCTGACGGGTACAGGAGGAGATTGTCCCTCCTTCTCCAACAGAGCACCTGGTGGATTTGAACTGAGCACCTCTGGGATTGCAGGCATTCTCAATCTTTCTATCTGGTTTGTTCTGCTTCCACTGACCTAGCTTCCCTCTCCCTCCCTGGCTTTGTATTTTTTCCTGAGTGAATGTCAACCATTTGTTCTCATACAGTTCATGGTTCAAGAGAACATAATGCTTTACAGTCTACTATTTGATTGGCAGGTGACCTCCCGAACAGCCTGAGTTCTAAGCACAGTGGGTGAGGGGGCTTCAGGGTGATCACTTCAGGGGTTTCTCGACTATCATGACTATCAGTCCTACAGGTCTAGCTCTGGAATTTTGTTCTACGTTTTCCTCATTCTACCTAAGACCTTCTACTGTGTTCCTGGTCCAGTCAGCAGAGCCAGCTGGGCCACCTAGTTCTGCTCTCAGTAGGAAAGGCTGTGTGTGTGAATTTTACTCCCATGGTCAGTTTCTTCTTTGAGCCTTTAACTTCCTTCATTCACTTTTACTTCATAGCAGTCGAGCTCCACGGTTCTGTCTCACAAGCTTTAAGCCTCCAGGTGCTACCTACAAAACTGGCAGGTGTATCGTTATCTTCGTGAACTGTAGGGCGAGTGGCTAAATCTCCTCTGGGATCATGGTCTAAACCTCTTCACTCAGTACACCAACCCCACAAATTTCCTAGAGCGTCACTCTGTTTTAAGCACGTGCAGAATCCATCCAGTTAAAAATAACTCGTGTCAACCCCAGGGTGTCAAGAGTCAAACTGCGTCACAGACAACGGCTCACGTTTTGGAAGGATACTGTAGGCCTTTCTTCCAAAGTGCCTCTGTGTAGACTTGAACCGCTAACCTTTCACATGGCAGCTGAGCACATTAACCATTTGCAACACCCAGGGACTCAAAATTATTAACAATATTAATGTAACAAATGTCATTTACTAACTAAAATAATTTCTTTTAGATGCTTAACATTTAAGTATTTTAAACTAAGAAATACTTGCACAAATAATATTAAAATAATCATAAATAAAGCTGAAATGCCCCCCAGTCTGACGGGGTAATGCTACCTGCATTTGGGGCTCTAAGAGGAAAAAGGACTCAGCAGCAAACACGGAGATAGTACAGGCAGAGGAGAGTCTGGGCAAACCCTCCCGGCTATAAAGGCACTGACGGAGGAGAGAGGGGCTCAGTGTGCCTGCGGGCGGCCGTGAGAGAGCGAGGAGCCGCTGGTGGCTGAAGCACCTCAAGCACCCCCAAAACTACCAGCCCAAGAGAACTGTGAAACTGTACTGGGACATATAAATAACAGGCTAGCTCCTAAAACAAACGGGGCAACACCTGTGAGTGCTGTGCTCTGCTGAAAGGTCATCTCTGTAAGACCAAACAGTCAGCCTTTATCCCTAAGTAAAGATGAGAAGGGGTTGGGGACCAAATTAACAGAAACAGACCCACCAGAATGGAAAGAATGAGAGTGCTGACACAGCGTAAAAAGGTAAAACCAATGGACAGAATTTATCAAGTGGGAATATAATTTGCTGTGTGAATCTTCACTAAAAACATGATAAAACATAATCATTGAACTAGAAGAAATGTAACACAGAATCCCATGGATAAAAGAACTCTACTTGAGGAAAAAGGGGGTCAAATACTTTGACATGAGAAGGACACAAGTGGCATTTTGAAGCAAGATAGCATAAATTATTTTATGAAATGAAACAAATCTAACGTAAACTTTATAATTCAAAATGGTGCATTCTTGTTAGGAAGTAACTTTCAGCTTTGCGGTATTCTTGCTCAGAACACACAGGTGAGCACCCTTCAAGACAAGCTTTGGGAGCGTGCGCCTCCCATGGCCGCATGATGGTCAGCTCTCAGCTGGCCCCTGGCATCAGGCTCGTTACTCCCACACGTGTCCTCACCTGACGAGGCTCACGGCTCTGAGAGACTGCTGACCTGACACCATGGACCGAAGGAGCCTCTCAAGCCTGGTCCTGAACTCACTCCCATGGATCAATGTTCAGCCAAAGCAACGGGCAGGTGAATGGGACAATCAGTAACACCAGGGCTCCTTCGAGCAATCCACCATCCAAGACCAGAGGGCAGCGGGCAGGTCAGCTCTGGGTCCTTCCAGACTCAAGGGGACGGAAGAACAACGAAGCTCTGGAGGCCGGAAGGGACAGGAAAGACGTACAAGTAGAATTGGGGACAAAGGGACAGGGAGCAGAGTTACGCTGTGGGGAGTGCAGCCCACGTCACAGAGTGTGCCCAAATGCTCAACAGAAAGCCAACTGGTTCTTTACTCTTTCACCCAAATCACAATCAAAACGTCTCGATTTGAATGGACTGTGGTGACGGCTACACAACTCTGTTTACCACACTCCATGAAAGTGTTTGCTTACAGTGGGTAAATTTTCTCATGTGCAGGACTCGTCCTCGACAAAGCCGTTTTTTATTAATTTGAACAGGATATAAGATCTACGGGGCCTGGCCTCAAGACGTAAAAGTTATTGTCTCAACTCCTCCTGCGTGGGGACAACTCTTCCAAGAGCTCTCGTCCCTGAACGACTTTTTCTCCTACCAAGACAGTATCTAGCACATGATGTTACTATGTCCCTCGTCGGCTCTCAGTGACCCGGAGTCCAGAACTGACCCTCCCCGGGGCACCACCCAGGAGCACGTATCACAGCAATGCTACCAACCCCAATGTCTCAGGGGCAACCTAAGCCTGAGCCCCCCCCAAACAAAAACTACCCCAATACAGCAGGTGGTCTCCATCAGCTTCAAAAGGATACACAGAGTGTTAAAAGTCTTGGCGTGTTACTGGCTTTAAACATTAAAGCCAAAAACTTTTCCAACTTCAGCTTTAACTCAGGTATCCAGGAATCCTAGAGGAAGGAAAAGAGAGAGAAATATCAACACACTGTATCACCCGACAGGGACAGTGTCCTGAGGTGAGCGTGGTCATCAGAGGCACTGTCTGCAGAAGCAAGGTGGCTCACCAGGGAGGAACCCTGCCAACACCGAATTTTAGGACATGGACCAGCCCACTGGTGCAAGATTCAAGGCACGCACAGAAGGAAAGAACAGAATTCTCTGTAAGCAGGGAAAGGTGCCGTCCGTGATGTGAATATTTCAGAGTTAAACACCACAGGAAGGACCCTTATTAGGCTGAAGGCCAAAGGTAACTCAATACAGTCCAGGCACAGGGAGACGTCACAGAGTTCTCACAACTGCTCGCCCTCCAAAGAGATGGAGTCATCTCCACATCCCCATCTCGGTAAGAAAGAAAGGACAAAGCTGTGAGTGAGCTGCTTCCAGGGCTCCATCAGGTCCAGGATCACAAGATGCTTTTGGTTTGATCTGTCCATGAAAAAGAAATCATCTACCTCAAGCTGTTCACTTACTTAGTCAGTTAATACTTACTTATTTACTGATTAAAAGAGTGACCACAGCTGACATCCAAGCAGATATATGCACACCCATGTTTATTGCAGCTTTGTTCACAATAGCAAAGAGTTGGAAACAACCGAAGTGCCCATCAACAAACGAATGGCTAGAGAAGCTGTGGTATATTCGCACAATGGAATACTATGCTGCATTAAAAAACAAGGA